ATTAATATAATATTTTCTATCCTGAACACTGTAGGGCGATCGGTAAAAAATATTATTAAGCCGTTTCAAAGTACGTTTCTAAGGAAACTGTCGGGTTGTTCCACCTTGGAAATATGCCCCCTCCCCCGAAAATATCTTGCAGAGGTCCATTTCCCTAATACATTGCTAGGTTCGCTGAACCAATGTTTACAACGTAATGAACTTCCTGCAGCGTGGACAGAATTACTCTCTTAATTTAATATATCATTAAATTATCTTCTACTCGACGTTTTGAACTTCCATGACTCTTAAAAATGTGAGGCTATGTTCAAGAGTAACAACTACAACGTCAACGGACCGTTACCAAATAAATATCGGATAGCACCACAGTCAGCATCCACTACTGACATGCAGTTCATTGATACTACGCAATTACATATCGAAATATAGTTACATGCAAGGCATTACAAAATATCGAACAAGGTTTAAACTTACCAATGTAATTTGATCCTTCAATTCACTTCTCACACTTTCATGTATACACTAAAGAACGTAGAAATTACTCCAAAATTCAGCAGACTTCTCAACTGAGTGACTAATATTACTCCCAGAGGTGAGGATGGGTGATAAGAAAAACTTCATGGAATCCTCCAACCTCTGCGATGAGCTGCTAGCCCACCCACCCTCGGCCGTATTGAAAGACACTCCACGTAGTTCAGCATTAGCCCGCATTGATTTCCGTGGCGCTAGAGGCAATTCCTTCCTCTCCTTCCCTTCGCTCTCCTTTCTGGAAGTAAGCTCAGTTCCTTCGGAATTCACCCCAGCTTCCTCAGTTCTCTATATCTCGCCACCAAAATCTAGTTTTTAAAACCATATCACGAATCTTCCTCTGTAATAAAATTAAAATGTTCTCCACACTACCAACGTTAACTAACCACATTTCCCAACATACTGTAAATATTTAAACGTAAACATCCCACCCAAAAATCTCTCTTCGGCGTCATCCTTCTCTGAACTCTACATTACTCGTCCTAGTTTTCTCCGACTCAATCAAATAATGGAAAGGACCTTAAAAGCTTGGGATCCAGTTTCGCTAGAACACTTATCCACTCCGTGCAGCAGTGGTGTAATGGAGGCAGTGAAAAACAGTTTCCTGCCTGAACAATCCAGCACTCCCAATGCAATGAGACTAACGTTAACACAACTACTTCGCAATTATAAAAGTTATTAACAGGTTCAAGATTCGGTGAGAAATCAGCTTCCAATGGTGCAAGAAGGAAAATAGTTCTTGGATTGTGTTTTATATTTTGTGACACCGCGAAGACTGATAGGTGGCTAGCAGTGTTTTAGAGGAACGGCTTACAAGAAAAATAAAACGTTTACACAGTTTCTAAAATCAAACATATTTGCCTACATATGAATCAACAACAGAACAAAAAATTCAAAGTTCTTTTCTTAGCGTGACTCTTAAAATGATCAAAGCGAAATAAAATTGTTATGCTTCACAAAATTTAGCTCATGCCAACCGTACAGAGTTTGGACGAAAACGGTCACCTCGTTAGATCTTCTACTTGTGGAATGACGGACATAACGAAATAATCGGCGTGTTAGCATCGTTTATTTGGAAAAACTTCTGAAATTTGTAGGGGGAGAACTTTATTTTAAAAATGCCCCCATTTTCCTCAAAGGGGAACACGATAGCATAGTTGGTTGAGAAACTATGAGGCAAGGCAGAAGGTCGAGGGTTCGATTCGCGATGAGGTCATTAGATTTTTCAATTGACCTAATCCTTCCAGCCGCACTATGGCCCTGGGATCGACTCGATCTCTAACAGAAATCAGTACCATGAATCTTCCTGGGGGGTAAAGGGCAGCAGGTGCATAAGGCTGATAACCTCACCGCCATGGTAAGGTGTCTAGAGAAAATGTGGGAGCCTCGACGTCTGATAACCCTATGGACCTCCACGGCCTGTTACAGGGATAGTTTTACCTTTACATCTTCTCCAAAGACGTGTTTTATTTGCACTTCGAAACACGTCTATTATTTTCGTCATGTCTCTCCCTGTCAGGCCGCAATCAACGCATCTTGCGAAATATAATTCTAATACTTGTATTCATACTGAGACGGACTTGAATTGGGTCATCAGGCCAACGACACGTTTATCATAGTCCAGCGTCCACACTTATCGAAGGCAACTTCTGTGTGACTAACGGACAGCATACTGACATTCTACTAGAAGTCCTCTTTGTTCAGGAATCAATTGTGATCCTTCTCTGAGAGTCAGATCCGGCACACGGATCACTGGGTGACACCCATGTCTTGGGACAAGCCTCTGGGTATAATAAGGCTTGACGACATTACTCTACCAGCAAAAGGCATGCTAACCAGCTTGGTTGGTGCTACTGCAATTTAATGCCACTATTGTGCACAGCAGTTTAATTTGTTCTTGGCTCTGGTCCCGCCCTCCCTCACCGAGAACTTGTATTGTAAATAAACTGTCCTGCCTGAACCTCCACAGCAAATGAATTGTTGAGCGACATAAGATCCAGTCTCCCTGCAAAACAGACGCAACATAATTTCATATCTAGACATCATGGAAGCATCTTGTTTCATGAGGGAAGAAAGAAGCACAGGGCTGAAGCACCAAAGAAACACAATGAAGGAAATGGAGAAATGAAAAGAGAAAGGGAGAGTGAAAGCTAGAGAGAAAGAGAAAGGAGGACAGAGAGAAAACTCGGAAGGAATTAAAAGAGAAAATAGAAAATTAGAGAAGTGAATTACAAGAGAGAAAATTTGGGAATAAAGAAGAAAAGAATAAGAAGGAAGCAAACAAGAAAAAAAAAAAGGAACCAGAAAACAAGAAGAAGTACTGTACAAGGAATTAGAGAAAGAATTAAGAAGCATAAAGTGTGAATTTAATGCATAAATTGAAGTCGCACGTAAGCAAAAGCATATTCTATTAAAATATACGTTTATCATTTTAACGAACTAGTCAAAGTCAAAGTCACACTGCGACTGACAGCCAGTCCGTCAGTCAGTAAGTCTTGGTGTCGAGCACCCTCCTGGGGCTCATGACCATATATTTATTACTGTTTGATAGTTATAGTCTTGTTTTTCTGGGGCGCCCTCGCTGATGAGAGGACGGGTTTTTTTTCTGTAAATGCTTTTGGTTAAAATCGGACCAAAGAAATATACACTTTACATGACGAACGGCGCGCACTTATGTGTATATGTGGAATTTAACTTTCTAACAATTTACAATAGCTAAAATTGTTCGAACGAAAGCTGTAGGAAAAAGTAAGGTACAGATTTTATGACCAGTATGAATTTTCTGCAAATCTTAGGGTTCTCCAAGTAATTAAACAAATGGGACGTTCTGCGTGCGTATCAGGTTCGCTGTTGATCAATAAATATACTAAAAAATTAGCAGCTTCCTCTCGAACATCCCGAAGGTCATCGAAGTATCTTACCCTAAATAATATAGAATTCCTCGAATTCTGAGACCTACATCAATGTAAATACATACTGAATTAAGAAGCGGTTGACTGTGCTTCCTAAGCCTCCTTTTCTCAGTCATAACAGATTGTGGCGTATAGACCGGTTACTAAGCATGACTCTGTAAACAGCGGCAGTTGTTAGGTAAGGCCCACAAAATACACGCACGCAACAATAGAACGAAGGGGTTGGGTGACCTCTTTTTAAGCAAGGGATCAGTAAACACGACTACAACAATAGGGTATTGTTGGAAACGGCCTTTTCTATTAGTTCCATGTAAAGTCGTTATAAAGAAGAGTTCAGCTGACTAATCGGTTGAGTTCCAAGTGAGCAACTAGTCGAGAGTTTGGCTCTGCAAGGAAGGCTGAGAAGATGGAGCTATGAATTCATGAGTGGAGGGTCAACCAGCGGGCAACGGCGTGATCAGGGCAGCTGAGGAATCTCCGCTGTGTTAAACCTGTTGCCAAGAAACAGCTAGTAGTAAGGACAATAGTCTGTGTTTGTTAGCGAACTGTAAATTCTAGTTCCGAGTGGTGTATACAAGTGGCCAATGAATCCATTCACCAAACCATACCCTTAAATATCTGATAATATTATTTTATAATGGAAACGTGGAAACAAATAATTCAATTATTTAAGTAAAAATCGTCATTAAGGAAAAAAGAAATGTAATGCGCATTCATTCATATTTCGCATGATATCAGTTATGATTTATCTTCTGAGTAAAAAGTTAGACACTTTTAAACTACTTGCATTTACCACTGATTTTGATTGTAATGGTTAATTTTACGTTAATTAGAAGACAGAACCAAAATTTGGCACCGAAAATTTAGAGACAGCAACGGAGTGAATGTGCAAGAACTGTTGCGCTGCGCGTACACTTCGTAACTTGTTTCATAACTAAACTGCCTGCAGAAATAAGTAGCCTATAGGCCCATGTCTCGTTACCATAGCTCAAGGCAGAATCGTAATAAAATTTGCTAATAATTCTTTCGAAAACACGCAAAGTTCAAATATGTTATTTCGGAACGACAACAACAAATCGAAATTCATTCACGAAATAATTATAGAGCGCATTAAATGCGAGCAATGTTTGCCACCACATAATTAAATATCTAAATCTCAAAATATAAAAAATGAATATCAAAATTAAAGATGAAAATACGCAAAACCATAAATGTTATTGTTTTGCATGGGCGCGAAATTTCTTCTCACCTAAAGGGAGCAGTATGGAATGAGGATGTTAGAAAACAAAGCATTTATGGAACAACAGGTGAAGGAAGGAAAATGAACACTGTCCTTCATAATTGACCTTCTGAAAGAAATCTTACTGGGGCGATGCATTCGTGGGGGGTGGGTGATGAGACGACAGGAGCTTCTAACATGAATGGAAGATGAAAGGAGCATGCAAAGTCGGAAAACTTAATGGAAGAGACCACTTTGAAGAGCTCATCATCATAATAGTAAGTCAAAGATTGAAGCTGTACTTTACAGACGTATTAAACTCATTACAATACTTAACCTACTTAGCCACCGAGACCGGCAGACGTCACCACGCGTCGTGATTATCATTACAGAAGTCGACATATTCCGCTCACCGCTAGATGACAGGGTTGAATTCGACGTCAAGATGGCTGCGTCGTGAATAAGGAAATCTCGCAGACACAGACGCCAGCTAGTGCCCTCACTGAAACGAACAGAATTTTTCACTTATTTCAGAACAGTATTACAACAGTGGGAGGTATCAGCTTGAATCACAACAATGATCTGGTGAGTTGAATAATGTTTCTGATTGTATTTTGTTCAATAATTGTCCGGTTAATTCATTGTTGAATCTATAGCCTGCGGTTTGGTATTCTGTCCAGAGCTTCATGCACAGGCGTGTTGTTATTAACGATCAATAACCAAACTGGAAACAAAATAAGGTCAGACTGAAGATAAATGTGTCTTCAGAGAAATAATATAGGACCTAGAAATGAAACGTATCGTTAAAAGTATGAAAGACAATTATAATTCAATATTGTGTCTAATGATTAAGCCAAGGAATCAGACTAAATATAGAAATGTGATCGAAAAGTGTTATCAGTTCTGAAAGATCCGATGATAAAAATATCTGTAACTGTGTCATCATAAAATTATCACATATTTGAATCCATAATTATGAATTTCCTTCAGACCTGCTAATGCTTAGTACATAGTCATAACATAATCTTGAATAAATTATAATAAATTCTTTATTTTTTCTAATATTTAAAAATAATGCGAAGAGATTTTAGTGATTCAGAATACTTGGAGATTTTTCGTATCATATTTTATTGAGTAAATATTGCACAGTGAGCATATGGATCATCAAAAACTTAAAGACCAATATGGCTGCCATAATATTTATGCTACGCCCACACCATCTTAAACGAAAAAAGTGTCAGTGACATTAATTCAGTATATGCATGCAATTAGCAACACACTATTCATAATTTAATTTGCATTAAAGTGTTTTGTATATGATGTAACTTTCTAGTGGGCACATTTCAGAGTCTCTTAACTTGGAGCCCAAGTTGGCGTTGCCGTTTCAGGTATAATAATCATTCAATATACACCTTGTAATTAGAGTTACTTGTAACTGAGGCATTCATGTTTAACTCTATGAATAGAAGTTCAGGTCAAGTTTTACTTCAGCAGGAGAGCGATACGCATATATATTCTGTCGCTTGGACCACTCCCTTCTGTGTCAAGTGGATTACTTACTACGTGACACATTCTCAGGTTGCGACTGGCGGAGAAAATCCCCACATGTGAAGACTAGCAGCAAGCATATTGCATAAGCAGTCACGGTAGTAGATAATAGGCGGTTAATCAACACCTTGCCTTAAAATGGAATTTTTAAAGGGTGTGTTCCATAATACACAACACACAAAATCACCATTGGCTTCATTGAACTTCTTTAAACTTAGTTAAGAATGGGAACAATTTAATGCAACTTGGTGAAAGTCTCCTATATCGAATTTAAGCAAAATCTGTAAAACAGTTTGCGTCATACATAGAAAATTATATTTATGTCCTAATACAAGAGAGGCTTTATATTAAGGGTAAATGTGAGTGAAAATTGAATTGTCCCATAAATTTTGGCATAAAAATTCTATGTAGAAATTTAATAAAATATGTGAAAAGGTTTACTTGGTACTGAGAATCCATTTATGATCTTATGTATACAACACTTCATTATGGTTGAATATGGCTGAAAATCGGACTTGCCCCAAAACTTGTGGAAGTCTCCCATATAGAATTTAAAGAAAATCTATCCAACGAAATTGGTTCTGCCGTTTCCTGTTAACGAATCCTAACCATGTCCTCTGTTTTCGTCCTTACCAGCTGGCGAATATCTCATGACTCACTAAACTGAGTCTGAGTCTTATATTATGACCGACGGTCAGTCGACCAGTCTGCCCTGGAATAAAGCACCCATCTGGAGCTTACTACCAGATTTTTAATATTGTCAGACACTTGCATGTTTGTTGACGTGGGGCGCTCTCTCTGACGAGAGGACGGGTCTGTTATATAAAATTGCTGCTGGCCCTTACCAGCTCAGTCATTCTCGGGTCCTACTCCCGTTGGACTCGTGACCATTTTTTTGTTATCTCGGATTCGAGACTTCCCTTTTCTTCTCCTCCTGCGATTCGCAGGGCTACGGTGGAGGTATTCGATCCCGCCTCCACACGGGAACTCGCTTAATTATATAACTGTACCGCTTATAACTCTTCAACACGGACCGTGTAGAAGACGAAGCTCCTAAAATGTTGTAGTTCAATTGTTACCGTGGGAACATGTTTGTTTGCGAAACCGTTACCCAGCAACGGCTGTCGTATATATGCTTATTTCGCGGTTATTTTCTAGCAGCGGGCGTCATTTATAGTCATTACTTAGCAATGGCTCTACATGCTACAGTACAAAGAAAAATGTGAAGAAAGTGTACGCTTACAATTTGCAGTCCTGAGTAAGCACTCGTATTATTAGAGTGATTAAGCAAGGAAGAAGTACTCAGCGTGTGTAGCTGCCACGAAATACGATTCGTAATATCAGAATCTGATTGAGACATTGTTTGAGTGTGATCATTTGGGAAACTTAGGAATGGATTAAAAATCGTAATAAAATTGATTTTAAAGAGACAAAAAATTACAACAGCGAACAAGTCTCTTCTCATTTCCTATGGTTTCCACGCAACAGTCCACGTTTCAACCCTGCGGTGCACGTCTCTTATCCCGGCAGAGGAACCAAGTGTAACCACTGAGCCCATCCTAAACAAACATAGTCCTGCCACAAACAGGACAACTGCCGGGTGCAAAGGACGGTTACACTCTGTGATAGTTTGCATGGCCGCGCCATAGCTCAAGGGGCTAGTCGCTGGCTTGCCACCGCGGCTGCCCGGGTTCCATCCCGGGTCTGGTCAAGTGGGATTTGCGGTGGACAAAGTGGCGCTGGGGCAGGTTTTCTCAGAGTACTTCGGTTTCCCCTGCCAATCGTCATTCCACCAATTTCTCCACAATCACCCTCACCTATCATCTGGGGCTGGTACAATAGGCCAGAAGTGGCCGCAGTGCAAGGGACTTAGTCCCACCCCACTAGCAATAATAAAAAAAAAGACCCTGCATGCAGACCGTTGCCTGTCTCTTAAGTGGTCTATGCTCACTACGTTTTCTGAACGCAACTACCTTTAACTAATTCCATGAGAGGAGACATTCTTGAGAAACCACCACTCGCTGTGCTGCTCAAAAATTTCTCAATATTTTATGGAAAACAAAGATTCATAAGAGCCCGACATTAATCCATATGCTCAACCAGATTAATCTTGTCAATTACAGTCCAGTTTATTTCTCTAACATTCATTTTAATATTATCCTCCCACTTGAGTGTAGGCCTTCCTAGTGGTGTATTTTCTGCTGGCTTTCGCACCAAAACGCTGTAAGAATTCCTATCTTCCTTTGTATGTGCTACTTATCTAAATATTTGAGGAAGAGTACAAATTATCAAGCTCCTCATTATGCAGTTGTCTCCAGTCTTCTGTCTATATTCTTTGCATTCTTTTATAATTCTTATTTGTATTATACTGACCGCCTCTGTGGTCTAGTGGCCAGAGTTCCTAACTACATATCCAGAGGTGCCGTGTTCGCTGGACACATGGTGTTACGGCTGAGACTGGAATCTAGCCCGTCCTGAATACAACTTCTGAGAGTTATAGCTACACAGACCTGCTCGGTGAACTAACTGTAATGTTCCTAGTCATACATGCATTCCCCCATTCGTCTGTTGCAAAATACTCCCTCCCTGTGTAAGACGCCAGTTTTTCTGCTTTACAAAACCGCAAGTAGTGTCCTGACGAAAATGACCGAAGAGAATTTTATAAATATTAAGAGATGTGGTGTTTTTAAGGCTATATAAGAAGACAACAATTTCCGAGCGTCTTTCCCGAAAAATGTAATGGTTCCTCATTTCGTCACAACATTGCACGCTGCAGGAATCTTGTTTGCTCAGCTGCTCTTCAAACAGTTCACGACATAATACTGAAACATGTGTCACTTCTCTGTGTTTTCGACACGGCAGATATGGAAATGTCACAGGTATTTATCTGCTTCATGATCTGATGTTCTGTAAACACTTCCACATGCTTCCATCAGCGACTGGCAACCAAACACAACAAGTACTGAGACGGACGCGTGGAAATGATAAGAAGGGCACAAATTTTGTTTAAGATTTTAAACAAAAAGACAACTTGTGTGACCTAGTCATGTATCTGAGGGTAGTCTTAAATTTATCTTAAAAATAATGTATGAGGAATTGGACCAGTTCATTCGTCCCAGAATAGGGCTCAATTAAAGGCTTTGAATGAACCTTCGAGTTCCTTAATTGACACGGCATATTTTTGCTAGCTGAGTGACTATTAAGTTCTCAAGAAGGACTCCGCTACTTACACTTAGTTAATATCAGACAAGGGCACATTTTTTATTCCCAGAACAAAGAAGAGTCAAAATAACTGCTATGAAGAAAGTATCGAGAGATTACGCTAAAGCCAGTGGCTAAATATATATTTCTTAGCTCTAAACTCTTAAAGATTGTAAGAGCACTGGCTTCATGCATGAAAACTGAAGGCTAATTATTTCACAGGAGTTAGTAATTACAGGGACCTCGGCTTTCGGGATATGGGCGAGACGGTATAGTGTTTAGAATATACAAGCATCATTAAGCGCCCGAAGAACCATGGTAAGTCTGTAATTAACCGAAACACTCTGGCTGTGTGATCAAATTTGTCTTCACCGACCCTGCTGTGGGCCATAAATAACCAGGGGATACAGCACAAGGGCGGAAAAAACGTGTCTCGCTTTACGCAAATTATTTATTCGAGCTAAATTAAACTGTGTGTGTGTGTGTGTGTGAAAGAGAAAGGGGGAGGGTGTGTAAAAGTAAGTTATATACATGACATTGTCCAAACTAACACGAAGGAAACAAAATGGAGAATTAACGATTGCAGGAGCTCTTGCTCATCGTCTGATATAAGAGAAATAAGTAAAATCTGTTACTGGGGCTTGACGACGCTTCAAATGAGGAGTGCTTCATTATAAAAATATACGAGGCCTGAGAATTAAATAGTCTTAAATTGTAATATTGCCAAGACTGGCGAGTTAGCACGTGTAGGATCATGTGATTACATGGTTCAATCGTGCATCGAACAATCATAGGCATTGTGCTCGTTTTGTGTTTGCAATAAGTGTTCTATTGGC